GGATTAATCTTCTAGTTTTGTTACCAATGAAACCTTTAGACTATTTAATTAGGTCCATCAGATTTTGATTCTTTAGCATAAGCCTGATTTTATTTACTTCATGCCTAAATGCCTGAACTGATAAAATAAGATGAGCTATATATTTTTTAAAAGATTTTCAATATTTAATAAAATGTTGAAGAAATCATTTTTGGCTACCATGTGTTCAGCCCAGCTTAACTTTCACTAGTAATATTGAGTCACAAAATTAAACTGTTATTATTTTTTTTTGTACTTCAGACTGTTTCCCATTGAACTTGACTCACTTCCTTGAAAACTGAAATAACCATAGAAATTTTTCTAGCAAGCTACCAATATTTGGAGTCCTGATGTGGTGCTGTAGGGTAAGCTCTTGACCGCAAGGTTGGCGATTCAAACTCACCAGTCGCTCCTTGGAAACCTTATATAGGGTCATTATAGGTCGGAACTGACTTGAAAGCACTAAACAACAACAACCAATATTAGAAACACCAACTTTTTATGTTTATCAAAATGTTTAAGGTTAATACAACAATGACCATAAGTCACTTTTTAAAAAATAGCTGATTTTAAACATTTTAAAGCACTTCATAGTGGTTACGAATCGGGCTGTGAACCTTGAGGTCAGCAGTTGGAAACTACCAGCTGTTCTGCGGGAGAAAGATACGGCTTTCTACTCCTGTAAAGATTTACAGCCTCAGAAACCCTGTACAGGGTCGCTAAGAATCGGAACCAACTCCACGGCACAAAACTACCACCATATTTTGTTTAGTTGGTTTTCGTGTGGGGCTTTTTCAACCTGTTAGATTCAGCTTTTTTTGTTTTGTGCTCCAAGATGACTTTTGCCCAGTTTAGCCATTAATTTTTTTAACATTGTAAGTTTATGTTTTTGTCATGGTATTCTCTACAAATAGAACCTTCCCCAAAAAGAATTTCTTAACAACCGTAATCTCTCTCCCCCTCTAAGAATCTTCATAGAGGAAATTATTCAATTTCATCTCTGTATGTCACCTAATTAGCTATATGTCCCTGAGCAAAGTACTTAACCTTTGCATTTCATTGTCAATTATAAAATGAAGAAAACAGTATATCTGCTTTGCAGAGTCATTGAGAGGATTAGAAGTAAATCCATATTTAAAGTAGCCAGCACACTGCCTAGCACTCTGCAATAGCTACTGCTGCTTACTATTATTTTCTCTGTAGTTGAGTTGTTGTTGTTTGTTGGTATTAAGTGCTGTGGAGTCAGTTCTGACTCTTAGCAACCCTGTATAGGGTTTTCGAGGAGCAGCTTAGTGGGTTAAGGTATCATGAAATGATTATGCAATTTCAAATGATTTTTTTTAACTATTTAATTTTTGTAATTTATTTTCCTTTGCAGTTTTCTGTAATTTTTTTTTTTTTTTGGCTAGGCCTTTGCTAAGTTTTTCTGTTTGGTTGGTTTTGTTTTTTCCACTCAGTTACATGATCTGTAATAATGTAGCAAACAGTTAAGACTACTAGCTGAAAGGTTGGTGGTTCTAGCCTATCCAGTTGCACGTGGAAGACAAGCCTGGCTGTCTACTGCCAGCACAGGTCTCATACTCAGAGCCAACAGCTGGAACACAGGTACAACCCATGAAGAGAACCCCTTTCTAACATGGATCAGCTCAGAAAATCCCTGATACTGCTTTAGCTGGGGCTTCTACGAGATTAGGGAAGGGGTGCCTGAAAACTAATACCCTGAGTATCCTCTTAGAGCAGATAGGGACCCCAAAGGCTGCTGTAGAACTTCCTTACTCTCTCAGAGGTCTCTGGATATAGGAACTAGTTGGAATTGATATTTGGAACAATCCAGGAAAGGATTCTGGAAACTGTAGAACGATGGTCTCCCCATTTTAAAACTGCAGTCTTGCTCAGTACTGAATGCTCCACAGGAAAAAAGCCTCACTTTCCCGCTGCTAGGCCCCGGGGTTAGTCAGGGTACAGAGCAGTAAGTAATATGAGATAAATAGCCCGTATGTTTGGGGGCTTGAGAATTATAGTTCAAAATGTTTTAAATATTGTACTTTTTTTATTCAAAGAGAAATAAGTGGAGTTTTGGTATCCATTGCAAATACTTCTTTTATGTTGTATATCTTCCATATACTTTAAGGAAGGCTTAATTAAATCTGTATTAAAGCATAAGAATTTATTGTGGAAAACTTTAAAGTTCTTGCTATGTTTTTAATTAAATTCATCTGTGAACATGGGTAGGTTATTTAGCCTCTATTGAATAAAAGACTAAGCATCTAAAAGGGATCAGGTGAGGCTTGTTTGCTTTCAAGGTGAAGGCGAATTAAGGATGTAATTCTCATGTGTAAAGAGCATCGTAAGCATTATTTGAATGTTCCTACAATCACAATGTAGAGTTATGACTTAAAGAAATAAAACTCATCTTTCAGGTACCATTTGTCTCACTAGTTAGATTATTTTTATCATAATTCACAAAAACGATCATTTAGAATATGAGATTGTTTTTTGTTTTTATTTTAACATGAAACAAATTTGTATTCTACATATTAAACCAGTGTATGAGTGGACATGGTTTTGTGGCATAAATTAATTCTCTGAAAACTTTTATGTTTCAAATTAATAAGGATTTATAAAACCTTGAAAGGAAATGACAGATTTTTAAAATTTAAGAGCTATAACGATTTTGTTTCCCTTGGCTGTTCTTTTCTAGGATTTACTAACCAGACATAAAGTGTTGGTAGCAGACTTCTTAGAACAAAATTATGACACTGTAAGTAAAAATCATTTTAAAGAATTTTCCTCATTTCCTCTTCCTCTTTGTTTCTCTTATACCTTTGAGTAATTGCCCCTATTTATTATTATTCATATGGGAACCAGCCATACTCTAATTCACCTATTTACCTTGAAGCCAATTTGATAGATAATTGAGGATGGCAGGTGGGTTAAGGCTTTCTCGTGTTTTCTTGTACTCCAGCGCTCCAAAAAATGATTAGAACCTTCTTACTTTGATCTTAAATTGAGAGCACCCAGGTGGCACTGAGAGATAAGCACTGGACTGCTAAATGTATGGTCCAGCAATTTGAATTCACCAATTTTTCCATGGGAGATTGATGTGGCGGTCTACTTCTCTAAATTTCATCTTGAGAACCCTGTGGTGCAGTTTTACTATGCCCTGTAGGGTCAGCCTTACGAGGTAGTCAGTAAATCTAAATGAAAGAGTCCCTTGTTATTGTTGTTTAAGTACTGTGGAGTCAGTTCCAACTCATAGCGATCCTATATAAGGTTCCCAAGGAGCAACTGGTAGGGTTAGCAGTCCATTGCTTATCCTACAGCACCATACCAGGACTCCAAAAAGCCCCTTATCCTTGCTAAAATAAATTCTTTTACTCGGTTGTTAATTAGTTTTACCTGCTAGTAAAACTATTAATGTATTCCTCATCTCTAACAGTGAATCCAGGCATTCCTGGATGGAATAAACAGTTAAACATTTGGTTAATCCAAGAGTTATGGTTCAAATACACCCAGAAGCACCACGAAAGACAACACTTGGCAGTGTGCTTCCAAAATTATTTAATTTTTTTTTTACCAAAAGAAATGTCTTTTTGATAATGACTTCATGCCTTTCCAATGGAATACAGTGGGTAGAGAGTCAGGCACAAAATAGACATATGAGGCTCGGAACCATTAAGACTCGTAACCATTTCTACCCGAATCGGGGCTTATAACATACTCCTGGACTATGGGAATAAAATAGCATATGATCAGATCGGGAGTATTAAGTATGATATTTCCCTATAGAATGAGTGAGGTAAGTGTGCTGTGCAGTATGTTTTAGAATTCAGGGAAAATAGGAAATAATTTGAGAGACTATGAGCCGATTTTCTTTGGTTCCTTATTTACTTAAATTTATCATTGTAGCTCACTGTGACTTCTTGTGTACTTTAGTCATTTAGATTAATTCCACAGAGACACAGCCTGCAGCAGTGACCTGAGCACCAGCTTTGGGGACTCCCGCTCCCTCAAACACATCAGATCTCCTGAGCCTCGTCTCTCTTTAGCAGTGAACAATGAAGCCGGAGCATGTGAGGCAGGACTCTAAACTAACCAAATGGGCATCTTGGGGAGTCAGTCAGTCCTCAAAAATGCTTTTGCATCTTATTGTTACATTAAAATTTACCACGATTTGTCTGATAAATGCTGTGACCCCCAAAATCCTCCTTGTGTTCCATGACACAAGGTAATAATAAAAAAATCATTCATATGAGAGCATAATTATTGCACATCTGTTAGGAGTTAAGCAAAGCTAGCTTTAAAATATTGCTATAAAATAAAAACCTTTATGAAATAAAAACATGAAAATGTAAAGCTACTGCTTTCAACATAACCTGCATCTAGTTTTATATGCATCTGAGGGTAGTGTTTCCATCTCTCTGACCTTACCTGAAGAATTCTGAGCTCTTAGATTTACACCACATCAAAATGACAGTTTGGGCATCCTTAAGGGACTCAAATCATGTTCCTTTTCATTGTTCTTTGAATTTGGGGAACAAAAAGAAGTCTGAAGTGGCAAGATCATTGCCTGTAGGGTGAATAGGGTAAGGTTTCCTAATGAAATTCTCATAGAGGAGTCCTTGCTGCTCCCAAAGAAAGAGCTGGGTCGCTGTCATTATGGAAAAATAGTCCTTAAAAAGATTCCACAACTTTCCTGGCCTTTTCCTCACCAATACAGTTTCCATTTTCTTTAAACTGTGATCATTATATAAGTTTTTTGTTTCGTTTTACGTTTCACACTCTTAATGCGCCAGACTGCAAAGCCATTTGCACTTCAAGGTCAGTCGGTGGTTCAAGCTCACCAGCCGCTCCTTGGAAACCCTATACAGGGTTGCTATGGGTCGGGATTGACTCGACGGCACTTAACAACAACAATAAGAATTCTCCCTCTATAATTGTTAGTGTACACAGCTTGCCCTCCTCACACACTCCTATACAAGTGTACCTCACCTTGGGTGCTCTGAGGCCCAGCACAGCTTCCACCCTGTCTGTTCCTGACCTCTCTTGCCGACACCTGTCTGTTCCTGACCTCTCTTGCCTTCAGTCCCCTGCAGGGCTTGCTCTTCTAAGCCTTAGTGTCTCAGAGTCTGGACGCTGTGTGAAATGCAGGCCTAGGTAATGATTGGGAACTGCATTAGGAAATAGGCAGGCCCCAAGGCCCAGTGGCTCCCAGCTTCCAGTGGGTATGTCAGTACTCCCAAGAGGCCATTGGGGATCATATATGATCCCCTGTAAAAAAAAAAAAATGAACACCAAGCTTTCTTCCCACAGCACTCTCTACTCTGCTGTGTTTGATAAGTCATTGCAATGTTCCCAGAATGCAGACTCCATACTCGAAGATATGGGCTTTACTAGGGAAGTTAACAGACTGCCACACCCACCAAGTGGCTGGTCAGTTTGAACTGCTAACCTGTGGCTACCAGAGTGCCTTTCATAGGTGCCACCAAGACTACTAAATAGATTAATTTGAAATGCCATAATTAAAATTAATCTTGCAACTTTCAGTGAATTTTTTTTTCAAAATCATTTATTGGGAAAACCCAAATTACTCCATTTTTCTATTTGATTTCTAATTCAAAACTCGAATAAAATGGAGAAGTAGGTCTCTTGCATCACTTGACCTCCCTACTTCCCAGTATCTTTCTGTGTAAAAGGGTGGAGTACTGATGAGTTTACTATGTTGTTGTCATTGTTAAGTGCCCTCAAATTGGTTCCAACCCATAGTGACCCTGCATAGGGTTTCCAAGGAGCAACTGGTGAGCTTGAACTGCTGACCTTGTAGTTGACATGGCTTTGCAGTTTACTATGGGCAGTGGTAAATTGTGTGGCTTAAACACCTCAGGCACAAAACTGTGCTGAGTTAGAGGGTTGAGAATTTACTTCTGAAGCAAGACAGCAAACAAATCTAATGTCACTGCTTCTTTTACACTTTAATTTTTCTTTTCTTTTCATTAGATTTTTGAAGATTATGAGAAATTGCTTCAGTCTGAGAATTATGTGACTAAGAGACAATCATTAAAGGTAATAAAGTATTTCTTGACGATAGAGTCCACATATGAAAAACTTTATGTTAGCAAATAATTGACTTATTAATGAATAAATAAGTAAATAACAAAATAATTAAACATTATCTCTGCTTGTAACTTGAAAAGTATGTTTTATGTTATGACTATTAATTGTATCAAAAAAATTATACCTATTCGCTAGCCTCAAATACTTTTTGAAAGTGAAAGTATAAATGATAAGTTCATGATAAAGGAGAATTTAATGTATATCTCTTAAGTAAGAAAACTAAGCCTAGGCTAACGTAAATAAAACCACAATTCTCTCTAAAAGATATTTTCTGGAAATGAAAAGAAATTACTGTTCACAGGGAAAAATCAGTAAGGATCTCTAATTCTTTTATGGAATGTCTTGAAATAGGCAGAAAGAAATGATCTTATGTTTTTTATATATTTCTGTAAACTAGTCCTGATAAGGTATTTTATGGAGGAGAGGAAAAGATAACAATGACAAAATATGTCACACAAAATGCAAAAATGAAACAGTCTCAGTTGTAAGCATAGTAATATACAATTCATCAGATCTACTTTTAATTGAGAGGTAAAACAACTTTCTGGTATGAAATTGTTTGTTTTTAAAGTTTTTGTTGTATTTGATTGAACATTAGAGTAGATTGCTTTTCCATTCAGCAACTCATACAATTGTGACATCGATTTCAACCCTCCCAATGTAACAGCACTTTTCCCACGTTCTCTCTGTGCTTACCACTTCCATTCATCTTACTTTCCTATCCTTTTCTGTCTTCTGAGCTTTGTCTCCTGAGTGAATGCTGCCTTTTGATCTCAAATGGTTGGCTGTTCTAAGGAGCCTGTACCTCCCTGGCATTGTTGTTCACCTTGTAAGCTTGTCTATTGTTTGGCTGAAATTTAACCCTTGGAGGCAGGGTTGGGGTTCAGTTCCATGCTTGAAGGATAACTAAGGGTTATAGCCTTGGGAGTTCCACCAGTCTTTATCAGACCAATAAGTCTGTGGTCTTTTTTAAGACTCAACGGAAATGCACGCTCTGATTGGTGACAACACACATCACCGATGGGGGGAAGTGGGGTAAAAGCAGCAATGAAGCGGCAAGCTAAGCCCTACAATGTTCAGTGGACTTCTGTGGACCCAGTTGGGGACATGGTTGACAAGCAGTGTGAAGAGGCCTGGGGACTCTTGGGCCCAGAGACAGTGGTGTGGCCACGGAG